CATCTAAATTTAGAAAAGCCAAGAGACGTTTTGTTATGGAAGGAATCGATTTAGCCTTTGTAACTGTAGTAGCTCAACATTAACAGCATGTCTAATCAGCCCGTTAGAAATGTTCACAGCTATGCTGACAATTCGAAACATTACCATCGCGTGAAGCCTCCTTACACAGCAATGCTGGTGCACAAAAATAACTCCCACTGAATATGTGTGGCCTCATTGAAATGACACAAACCACGTGAAGACAAAGGCCTTTTGACAGTGCAAATACGGGAACTATTTTTTTGATCTGGCTGTGACAGTGAGTGACGTCAGTTCCTCTGCTACGCTAAACAGCAGTCTAGTAACTGGTGCTGCCACATATATCTTTGCCAGCAGCGTATGAGACTCTTGTGTTGGGTAAAAGCTAAAGCCTGGCAGCACAGCTTGATAAACGGTGCTCTGATTTTCTAGACTCGCAGTCCGTAGAAATATAAAACCGTACCTTCATGATGGAGTATCTGAACCTGTGAACCAGACACTGGCCGAACATTATCTTAAGAATGTTAAAGCAAATGTTCTCTTGCAACATCAACTTATAACTGCATCTCAAAACACCTTCCACATTATATTAAAGGGATCTGAGAGTGAAAGGGAGATTTTCATCGAATGATGACCTGCATATGACTTCGAAACACTTAGTAGGGCTGCGTATTGACACAAAATTCATGATTTGATTCAGTTCACAAGCTTTGATTTGACATCGATTCATTTAGTATCGATTCACAATAAATCAATTCATTTGATTTAATATTGATTCTTATTGATTTAATATTACATATTAATCTAACTGTCAGCTAGTAGACTACTATAATATTAAAGTAATTTGTATACACTTTAATATGTATACACATTAATATGTATGTGATTTGTATATTTAAACTGCACAATAAAGACATTTTATTATCATAATGACATTCTAATAACTTTTTAATGATATTATGTTTCTTATCTTTTTTTTTTTTTTTAAATAAATATTTAAACAGTTGCTGACAAAAACATGCTTTAATTTATTTAAACATAAAATACTGAAGAACAGGTAAAAATGAACGACTGATTTATATAGAATCATCTAAATTGCACATAAGGCAGTTTTAATAAACATTTAAACAGTGAAACTTGTTTTCATGGCTGATTTATTCAAACAAACATACATAGATATTAAAGAAGTAAAACATTTAATAAATATATAATATAGTGCATATATTTAGCAAAATGCTCCTCTCTAGAGTTATTTTTCTAATTGAATAATGAGTCTATTGGTATTTATGGGCAAATATATCTCCGATTGTTTTCTGAAAGAAGAAAATCATATACAGCTAGGATGGCTTAAGGGTGAGTAAATCATGGGGTAATTTCCATTTTTGGGTGAACTATCCCTTTAACGATAACTAAATCATCTGAAACTGGGGACAGCGCAACCATAGGCCTGAATCAATCATAATTTCTCAGCATACTTGAAATATCAGGAAAAAAGTACCTTGCACAGCCAAGCTGGCCAAATGAATGGCTTGCTCAATGGAGCACGGGATCTTCCCCTCCAGAACGTCTTTCTTCAGCTGGAGATAATGCTGATATCTGCAGAAAACAGGAAGTGAGTAAAAGTGTCCTAACTGCACTGATGAGACCGTTTTAAACATATTCTCATCCTTAACCTGGTTATCTCTTGTTGTAACTATGACACGTATGACACGTAGAACACCACCCCAAAGTAAACGGTCGGCTCCAGTCCGTACTTGTCAAGCTGCGGCTTCTCCGGCTTCTCCAGATCAATCCATCTCTGCTGGTTTTGTTTGTTGCAGTACCAGAGGCTGAAATACGTTATCTGGGGAATGAACAGAATTTCACTGATTGCTCTTTCACTCGTGAGAAACAACAGGCCGGACCTCGTGTTTAACTTCAAATTGAGTATTTCTGGAGGTGAAGACTGGGCATATTCTCAATGTTTTGACTAAGACGTCTCTTTAGCAAAAGAGGAGAGGCGTGACATCCTAAAAAACACATTATGAGCTCAGACTAACTGAGATACTACATGCATGGAACATTTGTACTGTCACATTTATTCATGTCACACAGCAGGATGGTTATTGATCTCCAAAAATAGCTACATGTATAGGTGATTAAAACAAGTGAAAAAACTGAACAGAAATAATGACCAGCTACAGCATCACTTTATGCATTCATACGCATTTAACCTAAAATCTTGATGCTAAAAAAAAAAAAAACTTTATGCGTGTCAACTTTCCAGGCTACAACTGTTTATCTGAACTATTTTAAATATTTTTTTAAATTACATTAAATAATTATTATACACAGTTTGTATGATTCATATTAAGCTCTAAACTACAAGCATAGAATATTTCTACTTTTAAAAATTCATATTAAAGCACAAGACTATCAAAAAATAGCAAAATAGTAATTAAAACAGGTGAAAACCTGAAAAGAAACAGTGTCCAGTTACAGACTCTAAAATATGCGCTTTACTTTATGAATTCATAAAAAGACATGTCAAAATTTATTATGCTTTCGAGCTCACCTGCAAAATCCCAAATGGACATAATATTTGTCAACTTTTTATGTTTTTCCAATTAATAATACTGATTCTACTAAGTAAAAAAAAAAAAAAGTGTCTCACACGTCTCCGGGGGGTGAACAAAGGCCTTCTGTAGCAAATCGATGCGTTTTTGTAAGAAAAATAATCATATTCAAAACATAATCACTTTAATGTAGCTTGCGCTCACTTAGTGCTGGGCGGTATACCGGCTAAAGTAAGGAAACTTTGCTTCCTTTGCTCCTGTTAACAAACGTTGGTTTTCACGAGACTCACTGGCGCATGCGCAGCGCTGACCTCATACGTCATCCTCCCCCCCCCAAACTGCTTCCAGTGTATAACAGTGAGCGCAAGTTACATTAAAGTGATTATTACGTTTTAAATATGGATATTTTTCTTACAAAAACGCATCGATTCGCTACAGAAGGCCTTTGTTCACCCCCCGGAGCCGTGTGAGACACTTTTTTTTATGGATGGGCACATTTTATTTAACTGCTTTTGGACAGATGCATGCAACACCCGCTGAGTGGCATTAAACAGCTTGAAAGATCAAAGACAATTTTTAATATAACTCTGACTGGATTCGTCTGAAAGAAGAAAGTCATATACACGTAGGATGACTTGAGGGTGAGTAATTTATGGGCTAATTTTCATTTTTGGGTGAACTAACCCTTTAAACTACACATTTCATCACGCTATACTTCATCTAAAACTATTTTAATCAACATTTTTCAAATTCCTTTATACAAGCTGTTTTTTATGACTCATTAAGTCACACACTACTTGCCTTAAATTTAAATCCATATCAAAATGCAAGACTAGATGATTTAAATGGGTAAAAAACTGAAACTAAATGACCAGTTACAGCACCTAAATATACCCAGCATCTTATTCATTCATACAAATTTAACCAATAATCTTGATGCTAAACTAGATATATAATACTTGTCAACATCATCTAAAACTACTTAAATCAACATTTTCCAAATTCCTTAATTATACTTTGACTATACAAGCAGTTTTATGACCCATATTAAGTCACTGACTACATGCATGAAATATGTGTACTTCTAAAACTCATATCCAAGCACAGGACTATAACTGAATCTGCAAAAACAGCTAAATGGTCATTAAAATGGATGAAAACTGAAACGAAATGGTGATCACTTACAGCAGCTTTATCTTATGCATTAATATAAATTTCACCTACAATCCTGATGCTGACCTGGACATGATATTTGCCAACGTTATAGACTATCAAAGTTTTTTTTAATTACCAATACTGTAATTTTGCTTTAGCATCAACCTTGGAAGGATTCTGTAAGCATGCACAATTAGTACGTGCTGACTAAATCACTCTATTAGTGAACTTTAGGCTACTAAACACACTTTACTAAAAGCCACAGTTGGTTGCTAAAGAAAACGAGACTCATAAACATGTCTGAAAAGACACGGTCATCTATAACTAGATATGAATAGCATACTAACACAATAATCTGAATCAGACTTCTCAAGAGCAGCTGACTGCATGCAAATGAAGCACCCAGAGTCCAGGCCGAAATCTTGGCACACATGCATTTAGGGTGTTTGACAGCATTTTGGTAGCGGTCCTAGAATAGCCGAGACTCCAGACGGCACCAGCGAGCTAAAATAAACACACGCCCAAGCTGTGTTAAGGTGATTTCGACCAGATTAAACCAAAAACAGCACAATCCTACCTCCCGTAACTCGAGTCTCTGTGCGACTGCCTCCAGACATTCCTGTCCCGTGCTTTCCACCGAAAGCGTGAACTCCACATATTCAGCGTTGAGCAGCTGTATGCGGGTCACCAGGCAGCTTTTGCTGGACACCGTGTATCTTCTGGTTCTCTTGAGCTTTAATCCGAACGGAAGGGGCATGTTGCACCGGTGCCGCGACCCTCTTCGAGCAGAATGACTGGATTCAGCTTTTCTCTGCGGTTAATCCATGGAGGGGTGCTGGATTATACAGGGCTCCCCAAGACAAACACATGAGTCCCTGGATAAAGACAAACCACAGCAAAACAGATTAGCAACGACATTCAGATACAAACGGCCCAAGCGTTCAGAGCCGTGTCAGTATTTATCTGCTCTTCCTGATAAAATCACAACTGGTGGGTCACAGATGACAAGCAAAACCTATGCAAATTAACCATGTAATCATGGATAATTTAAAAGCAAAATAAAGATGGATATCAAATTTTACAAAAGAGGAAAAAACGCTTTCCTTATTTTTTGCAGTTGACGTCAAAGTCTGAACTCAAATTCATCTGTCACTTAGTAGTATGACTAATACGATATTGTTCCATATCCATAAACAATACACAGAATATTCGATAAAAGACATTTACATAAACGTATTCATTGTGTGATCTAAACCACACAAGGGGTTTTCAAACTGAAAAACTATAAAAAAGAATAAATAAAAATATATTAATATAATATTATAATTAATAAAATAATATAATATTTTAATTAATAAAATATTAACAAATGCATAAATATATTTAGATAAATAATAAAATTGTATTAACATAAGTATATAAATAAATAAATACTCTAACAGTACAGTAGCATACGGAGTAGACAAACACCTAAAGTAGCTTAAAAAAAGATAAATATATTTCAAATTATATTTTAAATTGGCACAGTATACCAATTTAAATTAGAACAAACTGGGTCTTTGTACATAATTGATGGCTTATTAATATGAATACATCTGTGATTTTAGGGACATTTTGTTACTTTTGCGTGATAAACAATTCAGGTCACCACTCAATATGCAATTTTAAATCTATTTCTTGAAGCAAAACCAGTTGAGAACCACTATAGATACAAATGCATTTATTAAAATCTATTTTTGAAGCATGACATGAAGCAAATTCACACAATCTGTCAGACAGCAGAAACTCAACATACAGATCAATAACATAATTCATACGTTATAAATCAATCACAATAGTATAATGAGACCAAACAAATGCCAAATTCTTAACAGCATGTTATACATATGCGTCAGTATGTAAATATACAGTCATACTTCTTATAATTATTAACAAAATTACATATTTATTATAAATACAATAATTATAGCCACTATGACTATTAATGACATCGAACGAATAAGACTAAACAACAAAAACAAAACAATAAAGAACCGTGATTTAGGCTTAAGGCCCTCGAATATGTAAAAATAGGTATTTGATTATATAAACGTACATCGAAGCTCTTAATTCTGCGGTCGCTGTTAGAAATAGAGGAGTTTTTCTGCTTTTGCGAAATATAAACAAACACCAAAAATGTCTGACTAACTTTTGGAGCAACAAGTGACCACAAAACCGCACGCATCCAGATGGGACTTATACACTTCATGAAATAAGACGTGAAAGTCTCCAAACACACACTTAAAGGGTCTAAATAGGTGAGATTTATTAAGATGACTGAGTTTTATCTTTATTTAGAGTTTAAGAACGCGCGCTGGCTAGCGCTGCTAACACTTTTGAGTAAAACTGTGGAAAAGAATGATTTCAAAAGCTCTCCGCCGCTTACCTGCTGGATTATCTGATTTATTATATCCTCGATGTATAGCATGAATAGTTTCTGGAGTAGGAATTAAGGTTTGTGATGATAATCCGATATTTGGTGGAGTTTGTTGTTTCGGGATTGACTCATGTTTGAGGTTCCTCGGGTCACACTCCTGCTGCTGCGTCACATCCGCTCGGAATACCAGAGGAAAGGTGACCGGGAACGTATTCATCCGCGGCACTATTTTCTCTCACACCCGTGAAGTCTTTTTCGATTTCGCCACAGTCACGAGAACTGACTTTGATGCAGAACGCGTAAAAATTAATTTTTGATTTTTTTTTGGAGTAGAAAAAAAAGGTTATGTCTGATCGAAAAATGAGATAGGATTAATCAATTGAACAACTGTGCTGCGCCTCGATACAGGTCGCATTACGTCAGACGCGTGGAATGCGTGGAATGAGAGCAGCTGCTGTAAAGCCCTGTGAATAACGGCACATTATTTACGACAGTAAAACTCTGTGATAAGCAAGACTTTATCAGCTCTTGAGGATTTGTGGGTGTACAATAAAACACAGTGTTGTCATTTTTTATGCCTGGTTATCTGTTAAACTTTATAAGGGTCATTCCTAGGATTCGGTAACATTTCAACTTGGAATATAATTTTTTTTTCCAACTACGTTACATATAATTCATTTTCAAAATGCCCCACATCATTAGGCACATGTCAAAAAAAAAAACTCCAAAATCATATTTTCATTTTTTCAGATTTAGACCTTTTTTCTCAACCCCCTAATGGACAAAATGGGATTGGTTTAAAAAGGATTTTACACAGAACTTGTTATAAAACAAACCTACTTACTGCTCATGTGTCCCTCATAGCAATTTAATGATAAGAAATGTAACATTTATCATAATTGTCACATTTTTATAGGACTGAAGCTAAAAATACACAAATGGTGTGTCTATTGTCTCTTTATTTTTGAAAAAAAATAAAAAATAAAAAAATAAAATAATATATATATAATTGTGGTTTGGTTTAACTAAAACCAAACCACAATTTTATTTAGTCCTTAACATGTCAGATGTTAATCAGCAAGAAATGCTTTCATTCTTAAGTGTTTTCACTATATTTTTCCAATTAATGTTACAAGGTGTGACGGTGTTGAAGACTGTAACACATTTGAAGGGATACATTGCCTTCAATTTTAATTTTTGGTTTTGTTTCTCTCTAATATTGTCCCCTTGTTTCTGGGTCAACATACCTGCATGGCCAGCATTGTCTTTCTGCTGCAAATGTGGGTGCAATTTCTGATGTATGATGCTTGTCAAAGTTTAAGTGGACATATTACATCAAAAAATTATATTTATAAGAAAAATATGAGTTGTCATGGTTTTGGTAAGTATATGTTTACTGAAACCATGACTATATATATATATATTTTTTTTTTTCATTAAAATTTTTAATAAATGAAGTAAATAACTGTCACAAGTTTACAACCCCGAAACAATGAGAAATAGATATATTTGTGACGGGGTTGAGGTTTTTCACTCAAAATGGGCACTGCTCCTCGTGTAGTGTACGAGAGTAGACCATATATGGCAGCAATAAAATAAGTAAATTTTATGTACTTATGGATTAAAATAAAATGTTGAAAAATAAATAATAATTGTCCATCTTTATTTTATATGACAGGGTTGAGTTGGTAAGCTTGACAGTACCCTCCCTGACTATAATACGCCTCAAAATATGAATAAAAAGTATGATACTAACCATTTTCTGCACCACTAGTAAAGAGACCTGAATGACGTAATTTCTGGTAAATGTCACATATGAGCAGAGTCTAAATTATTATGAGCGCAGAGTGTGACGGGGTTGAGTTCAGACTGAGGGACATAACTTTAAAGTCTGTTTTTTTAAATAAAATTTCTTGCAATGTTTTTAGAAAAATATTTTTCACAAGAAAGGAACACAAATACATGCTTACATTATTGCCAAAAATCACAGACACTATGCACATTAATAATTTTCTAAGTACAAACTCTGGGACATGACAAAATGCTTGGTTTAAGGCAAAAAAAAAATATTAAAATGCAATAATTATATTTATTCACTATAATGGGCATACCAAAGTATTGTGAAAAGCTTCTAACAATTCATTTTTGGTGAACCACTACTTTAGAAAATCTGGGGGACTGAAATATTACCGAATCCCAGGAATGACCCTTAAGTTAAATGTTTATTGCACGGTTAACTTATGCTGATATGATTTAATTCTCAAGGACTTATTAAAGTGTACAATAAACATAAACCAAAGGTAATTGCATTATAATTTTATTATCTATATCCAATGTTGTTAAACAAAAAATACAGTAGTAAAAGTTTGAAAATATAAAAATACATATCATATCACAGTTGAAGTAAAAAGTGTTTCATTTCTCAGTAGTTGAAAAGGCAAAACACTCAATGGACATTTAAATCAACATGTGCTAAAAGAAAACGGTGTATATTAAATTGTATATTTCAGTGTAACAACAATTGTTCAAAGTAAACAAAACAGTTTTAAGCCACTGGTGGTTGCCTTTGAAGACACATGGATGCATGGTTTCTTTGAAGCCTTTGAAGACACATGATTTCGACAAATTCCTTAATTGGGCATTTAATGGTTAAGTTTACAATAATGTAAACTATGTATATATTGTATAGCCATAAAGACGTTTTTTAAGACGTTCTTCCAGTTTAAATCAAGTCCACTATATCAAGTATATCACTGAATATGAATACTGCAACTGTATGTTACATAAAAGTAAACAAATCAAGTAGTAAAATTAAATCACAAACTAGGCTTCTTTTGTATTTTCAAAAATACAAAATGGCTTTTGAATCCTAACCAGACTACATAACCAAATTAAGAGCAGAAAAGTTAATTAAAGTACTGAATACTGCACATAACATGCTGAAAATACTGCATAACTATCACTTCATTGAAAACACACGTCTTTTCTGTAAAAAAAAAAAATACAAAAACAGAAATCTGAAATTCTGCAGAAACTGCAAATAATTACAGTGTCATAAATAAAAAAAAGCATTGTGCTTTTGCAAACATTTCACTGAGTTAAAACTCATCATCACTGATGTCTCCTCTCGTCTGCTCCTGTTCAGACACTTGCTGTTGAGTTTCTGACACATTTAAAGACTCCGCCATGATTTTCTCAAGTTCATCAACCTGCTGTGACACTTCATTATCGTCTTCAGTGTTCCTGGGATCATTCAGGGAGATCTCGCTGCCTTCGTTACGACTGAACTCCACGTCGACTTCCTCCGGACCGGCTCGACTGTGGCGCACAAGTGTGGACGCATCAGCAGAACTCACGTCCTCGTTAAACACTTTACGAAGCAGATCATCAACATCATCTGATGGCAGCGTCTGACTGATGGCGGCAGCAGGGGGACTTTGCAGGTCCTCCTGCAGATTGTCTAGAAGGTGGCGCATTTTGTTCTGTTGGGAATATTAGAGAGATGGACGTCTGTGAGTGAATGAGAAAGGAAGTGATGCCAAGGACTTCTAGTATAGAGTGAGACATCTACAACTAAGGTGACTGGTTTAAAAAGATGCCTGGAACTGAGTGCCACATAATGTTTGATTTGTGTGTTGCTTGCAAAAGCATATGTGAGCCTGGACCACAAAACCAGTCATAAGGGTCCATTTTTTTGAAATTGAGATTTATACATCATCTGAAAGCTGAATGAATAAGCTTTTCATTGATGTATGGTTTGTTAGGATAGGACAATATTTGGCTGAGATACAACTATTTGAAA